GTAATGTGTCGGTTTGACCGTAATTTTAGGCTAATTAGTCAAAAGACAGTGGCTTCTTTAATGTGTGCGCAAGTTGCTTTTGTCAACTACAAAGCTTGGGACTGCAGGCAAGCTTTGATGGGGATTTGGCAAAACCATGGACTAGTTGGAGCCATATACAACGGGAGGCACTAAAAAAATAAACGAGACAAGAGAGAAGAGATGCAGATAAGCGTATTCCAAGCCAGTAGAGGCGTGGTGTACAAGGTAACAAGTGAATTTATATAGCCTTGCTAAACATCGATCCCTGGTAGAACAGTAATACTTCACAAAATTCCTTTATTACCAAAAGGTTGCGATCTGGATCATGGAGCAGGAGTTGGGATTTGACCTTCCATCTCTTACTGCCTGCGGGTAACAAGGAATGTCAAGGAATATGGGTCGGCTTCATTGGAAATGGGTGTACGGTTGTCGACAGTCGGAAGATAAATGTGGGGCGGTTGTAGGCACAACTTTTCCCATGGGCACGGAAATTGATGCGTATGAAACAATGCCTGGATTGTGATGTAGATGACTGGAAAGTGGGGCTAAATTTGTTGACAGTGCAGAACGATCAAGCCAAATAATAGGAATTGGAAAAAAACAGTACAACGGCATGAGCTAAGACAACGGCTTTAGCAATTAGTACATTTGGTTCATCAAGGTTTGAAAGAACAAAAGTTTATTTTTACATAACTGAGTCAGCGGATATCTGATAATGGAGTCTTTTAGCTGACCAATTTGTTTTTCCTGTCTCGGGGGTAAATCAGCAAACCACGCAAACAATGCGAGGGCACGCTCTAAGAAATGCATGGTGGGTGTAGTTACCACGCAAAGAAACATAAAACCACTAGCGGTTGTTTGTTCGCAGTGATTTATTAACATTTTGCGTAATTGGAAGCGATATTGAAAACGGTCAAGGCATTTGCAATATCCTCAAACTTGCAAACTCGACTACTAGTTCTCCTCAAATTTGTGCAAACATAGGGCTTTCCAAAAATGCATTTTACATTTTAAAACATGAAATACACTGATTTCATCACAAATAGAATTGTACCAGAGAGACTTTGTGTCCCTGGAGGGCGTTAAAAGAGTTAAACACATGCTTCATTTAAAGTATCTGTGTTTCATAGAACCTAGTATACTGCTTTAAGGTTCTACGTGTGGTGCTTGGAATAGCAATGCCAAACTGCGTCATCTTTGCATCCGTTAATAGAGGCGAAATGAATGGGACTTACGGGTCCATCCAAACACCCAACAATTTGTCCTGAACTGTTAGCCAAGTTCCACAGATAGAAAGTCAAAAAAACCTGGTAACTTTTTGATTGGATGCCTCGGCTTTGATCATCGATGCTTGTAAGTAGTAAATAAAATAAGTAAGAGCATTAAGTTGACGGAAGCAGCATCATAGTTGAGCAAAGTCTAATATGCGAGGCAGCGTGCAAGGGAACTAATCTGCACTTTGGTCGTGGAAAAATTTGTGTCAATGTTTGGCGAATTAAGAAATGTCTAATTATCAGTTAATATATATATATATCCCTCCATCTTCAAATATATCTGCTAAATCATCCATTCTCACGTCCCCAACTATTTTCATGACCAACCTGTTTGCTCAAATTGACAATTGCAAAATGTCCATAAACTATGTCGCAAATTATCACAGGACAGATTGTTAACCCCGAGACGTTTGTCAGGGCCAGACAATTCCCGAATTCAAATTCACGTTTTTAGTGAGACTTATATTTGTTTGACATAAACTTAGCCTGTGCTGATAGTGTGTACTTGCAATTTTATTTGCGGGGAACAGCGACGCAGGCTATCAAGTGCTCGGCAGAATTAAAATGGACACGCTCAACGCGTTGAGGGAACCAAACCTGTCTACAAGTTCGAAGGTCTAGGGGCGATAAAAAGATGTTAATTTTATACAAGCGTTCCGTTTTTTCACACCGATTTTGCCCGAATTGAAGGAAAATAAAGAGTAGGGGGGGGGGAAATGATTATATAGCCCATCCTTGAAATGTCGTTGCCTTTTAATTCTACACTGCAGGTCTCAAGTTATTCTCCATTTCCATTAACTGATCATTGTTGCCATTAAGCCATCCACGTAATCATCTGACAGACACTGCATTAAGCGCAGCCTGCATTATCCCAGCGGATAGATTAAATTAATAATTAAACATTATGGTGGACAAGGTTAAGATGAACCAAAGGGAGTGGGTTAATGTATGATAAATAGTCCAGCCCATCTACTGGCGCTTGCGGTAATTCAAATACAGATTGCCACTTCCCAGCTTGAATGCGGGTCTCTTCATAGCATGTTTTATTGGTGCGCGAACGGTGTTTCATACTCTTCTAGCAACAAAGTCCTGCGGTCAACAAGCGATTTACACAGCCAGTTCGATTAATGCATACATGTGCTATACCGGAATACACCTTTATTTGTGTTTGGCCTTTGGATAGAGATTTCCAAGTCCCTTGTTTGATTTATTGCTGCCAAAACTTGCATCGAACACGTGCTTGCAGCCGATAATCACATTATTTTAACATCGTGTAAGTCTAATATCCAATGGAAGCAAAGCCGACACGTACAAGCTCGACAATTTATTTTAATTTCCTCATTTAAATGTCACTATGCTGCGAAATGCCATTTGAAATCGAATAGCAATAAACAGCCTATGAGTAAACAAAGGTGCAAACTGTCTCATGAAAATCATAATGACAGACGCGAACTTTCGTGTCGACCATCGTCAAGTACCTTTAGGCGCATTTAGAGAACCACACCAGGAAAGGGTAGAGACGCAGAGATAGCGCGTAGCTCAAGTAATTTAGTGATGCGGTAACAGCGTGGTTATTCAAGGTAGCAAGTCGTCAATTTATATGCAGGATCGGTCTCTGAACGGAGGTGATTACGTGAAGTACATCTAAGCAAATCGATTGCATGGTGTTCGCACACGGCTGACAACTGCTCTCTCGCTCACCACAAAAGCAAACTCTGTGTATGCCGGCCAAGTTACCGATTCTGAGGTAACTATTATAATGGTCTACTTAGCTAATTGATAACACGTTCTTACAACACTTATTATTCCGACTTGTAAATTTTCCTTCATGACAAAGCTCCTACAAACAAGTATAGCTTTATGCTCCGGAATAGCATTTTTGTCCATTTTTGACTTGTTTAATTGGATGAAATATTTAGGAGTCAACTTGCAAGAGTAGAAGAGCAAGATTCAATTCAGTTTAGCTACGTTCATGGCACTATATTGGCTCTAACAGTGAATGGACTTGCTACATATTATTCTAAATTCACAAATTCTGATCGTTCAATTGAGTTCCCCTGCGCATTCCTGTTGAGAGTTTCTCATTTTGTCCACCTAACTGTGATGGATTAAAATTGGGAAGATTATCAATATCAGTGGGGTAGCAACCTGTGTAATGTGATTTTCATTTATGTCCTTCCACAAAGTAGGCTAAGACTAAGGAGAAAAACCTCCCAGTATTGTACAAAAGCGATGCTAGCTCTAATTCCTTTGGGATGCTCAATCAACTGTCTACAAAATTCACCTTCTCAGACACGGAATAAATGTACGAATTTGCTCGGAAGTTGAGCGACTATTTCAATAAAATAAGCCAACAGCTTGAAAATGCCACAAAGAAGCTTGTTTTGGACCGAATCAAATCAGGATTTGGGGGATAGCCGTTGATTCATCTGAAGAGGTTGTCAAAATCTTAATAGATAATAACCTGACTTTGGATGTTCCAATTACGGTTTCCTGTTGTACACTCCACATGGGTGAGATGTACAGCAAAGCTCCTGCGAATGGACGCAACTAGTGATCTTGTGATAAGCACAAACAACTGTCGAAAACGGGAAGCCCAAATTCCTGAATGGGAGCCGCAGCACGACAGCGGCGGTGCGAGTTAAGCGGGGTAATAAACTAACTGCACCGAAGCAACACCACCGTCTGAAGCGCCGACCGCCTTATGCATGCACTCTTTTGCGCAATAAGAGGCAGTTGAGCTACTACGACTGCCGTGGATACGGGACCTCGAGTTTTCAGGCACTGACAACTTCGCTCTCCAGAATTACTTCCATACGTTTAGAGCACCACAGGCATACACCTGAGTAAATGGTGGACTGTGAGCGTTTAATTGGACAAAACCGTCGTGAGACACATCAAAGCTACAGCGTCTACACCTAGCATAAATCATCCCTGTACCAGCTAACTGAACCCAGTAATAATTGATCATTCAAACACCGAAATAGCACTATCGAAAAAACCATTCCTATGTAGCAGATTCCCATAGGTTTTTTGAAATACACCCTTATATGATTATTGCCTGGAAAAAAACGGGAATTACCAACGGGCAAGAATACATTTCTTTCGAAGACAATGATAATTCTGACATGGACGAGGAACCGCCAGATGCGCACATGGCTGCCAGCAGATGCGAGGCAATCCATCGTCTTGATTATTTGCGAAAAACACTGCCCACTTGATGTCATCACTGGGAATACCTCTTTCTGCCCTGTTCCTAGTGACTACTGTCTAGGAAAATCCCTAAACTACAATTCGGCTTTGTGAAATAGTTTAGTTTTTATTTGGCCAGAATCAGAGAGCCCAAATTTGTGCTGTTTAACGATAGCCACTGGCAATTTTATGGCCTTATCACAAACTCGAAGTATGAAAGCTTGCATTTTCTGCTTCGAGATTTGTGCACTAAGAACCGACCCTCGTGTTTTTGGGATGGAAAGTTTGATGGATTCGATATTATCCAATGCATCTGTCCAACCTTGAAAATCGACTGACCAATAAAAATCAGCTTTTGTGTGTTGCAACAATGAAATCGGGACGGGCTCATCTAAAAATACAAAATCAAGAGGCACAAAGCTAGTGCATTATTTACTTGCTCTTTATCACAAGAATCTAAGTAGCATTTCGAAAAGGAGCTAAACAACACTCATGAGCGGAGGCGGTCGGTCGTTAGCTGTAGACGGCCGCTTCATTGGCCACGGTTTGGCGCAGAGGGAAGCTGTTCACGGCGTCCTTGAGAACGCTTACCTCCACGGGACGGGCTTCGAAGCAGTCGTTGTCAATCCAGAAAAATTCACCCTAAAAGACAAACAACGACGCTTGAAAGCCAGCTTCCCCTTTCAAGACCGTTCATATGATAAGACGGTATAGATAATTGCGGTTTAAAGAAGTAATATATGAAAGTAAATATTTGGAAGTTCAATTTCTCGTCGACTTCAAATTCACTTCCAATCGTGGACAACTACGGTCTTATCTAGCCCATGTTTTACGCAATGATGATGGGATTTACAAGTCCCTATAACTTCATCGCAAGGGCAAAACCACGCAGTGGGAGACGATAGGGGTGCACGCATCCCACAGAAAAAGTAATGCCAGGCAGAAATGTATGGCCTCACGCCTAACTAATGTGGGAGGGGAAAAAGCCTTCAGGCTAGCTTTCCGCAACGACCACGTGCAACGTTGAATCAGACAGCAGTGAAGAAGTGGAAGTGGCCTCGAGTTACAAGAGCCTACACATCTAGAGGTCTGTGCCAATCCGGTACTTTGGCCTTCATTATTGTGTATTTCGGAGCAGCACGGAATCAAATTGACAGTCGTTAAAACAGGTTGGAGCACTAACACCGGATTCGGTGATGCACAACTGCTCAAGGCCTGCAACATATTTAACTGTTAGTCTTGATTCAGCCCTTGTTTTACTACACTGGCATCAATGAAACACTGTTCAAATCGCCCACTAGCAGCAGGCGGACCTGTCTGTTGCATTCACTTACTGTTTACTCTATTGTCGTAACATTTATTGACTAGGACAACGTTTAACTTCCCGAATTGTCTTCGTTGTTCCTCGATTCCGCCAAGTGTGGCTGTAGGTGCTTAATCTGCTGTTATTTACAAAGCCATTGTGAGGACCAGAGCAGTGAACGACGGAAATTATTTGGGGTGTGTGTAATGCTATATTCACCAAACAAACCACGCCACGGAAGATAAGGAGGTGTTCCGGAAACACCCAAGTTTCAATTGACAAGAGAAAAGTTGGCAACACGAGAAGCCACTTGCGAGCTCACGAGGCTGCGCATCACAGAAATGCAGTAACAGCTAATAAATTATGCAGAGAGAGAGCGACAACCTAGAGAAAGGTTGTTGATGTTGAGCAAGTGGACAAAATCCCGATAGGGGGTTAAGACAATTTCTGGAAGGAGTATTGGCGAACGGTGGCACAGGGTAACACGAGGGTGAGGCATTTCGTTTCGCCTAAAATAACCGTCAGTACTCAAATATTGTAGTTGATCCGTGTGAATAGATCCAACACTGAATAACAATTTAGTGAGGATGACTAATTCTCATGCTCCAGGCGGTGCGGATTGTTTGCGCGGGATCGAAGATCAGGAAGAAGAAGATCACAAGGAGTCAACTGCAGACTTCGAGTAAGAAGGTGTGGTCGAGCGCAATTGTGTAGCGATCCGGAATTCGCGGCAAGACGAGTGAACGCTTTAAATGCCGACGACAACGGCACAAGACAACATGAGGGGGGCCAAACGAGGGACCGGCGCGAGAGGAAGATGAATAAAGTGCCCGTGATAAGTAATAACGGTAGAAAAATTGGTATTTTTTCCAAATTTTGCAATTTCCGTTATTGTCTTTTCATTAACCAAATAGTGACAAGAAAATTGCATTTTAAATACATCGAAAACGTCTCCCTCGCCAGAATTTGCTTCACAATAAACAGCTTTAAAGCGGGAAAAAGTGGTCGGGCGGCCCTTTAGACGACCTCGATTGTGTAGCACCCCAACATTGACTCCCTGTGGGTCGCGATTAATCGAATTACCGCAGCGCTCCTGGTGTAACCGCCTACACGCACTGCTCCCCGGCAAATTAAGCCGCTTTAAAGCTCCCAAATAATTAGCTAAAAAATGGCGACGACGACCCCACCTATAGGCCAAATGCTAAATCACGTCTGCCATAACTGTAGACAGTCAAGAATTAAACATCTGTAAGGGAGAAATCGCGATAACTTCGAGCAAAATTTGGACAAACGCCAGTAGTTAGCGTTCAACTTAAGACGCAAAAAGCAAGAGCTGGACGATTTTCCGCTAAACATGTAAACAGAACAATGGTCATTAAAAACACGCAAGAGTGCGCCGGGCTGCCTCCCGCGGTGGTAAGGGGGAGAGAAGGGTGGGGGAGAGGGTGCGGACTAAGGAATGTCCCTCTGAAAATAGGATACTGCGCATGCAGTAAAGAACCTTCGCTTCAACGCGTACCCTAGATCACGCATCGGCAAAACTACGCTGGGAAGCTTGGCTTAACAATAAAGTTATAATAAGCGGAAAGAATGGGGTGGGAGATGACAGTGAAGGGCTAGCTGCAGAACCGTGGGAACACCATCTAGTTATGTGAAGAACTAGCACAGATTTTCATCCAACAACATCGAAGTCCGCTGCTCCCCGCAGGAACTTGAAAGGAGGCGAGCACACGATGAGCGAGCAGGAGTTGTGTCCACCAGCACTGACAAATCGAAAATCGACAAAACACGGACAGAACCAGATTATCAGAGGTGGAAACGAACTCGTGTTTTCGACGGAAAAAACGCGATTGGGGGTTCTGACGTTAAAACTCGAGTTACGGAAGTACCGGTATTTGGAAAAGGTTGAGATGGGATTAAGTGCGGTTTGCGGCAATCCGTAAACAAAAATAGCGGTCAGTGACTTGGAGTGTGTGTGTGGGAGGCAACGACAGCAAGGAATCAGACTTTAATTACCTTCAAGGGAGCTGGTTTCGCGTGCACAGGGGCTAGAGCGAAGGGGTAGGCAAACGTGCCAGAAAAGTCTATTTCTAGTGCACGTGTGGTGCAACAGTTGTTGCACAAGAAATACCGAGTGCAGACAACAAATGCCCCCACGGAAGCACCACCGAAGCGGACCATATGGCTCGACTTTTCAACACCCAGCACACCACTTCCCCACGCCTCGACGTCGACGACAGTGCCAGGGGGCAGTCGGCAAACCCATAAAATTTCGTCTAGGACGTAGGCGGCGAGAGCAAAACAGCAAAAAGGCGTCGCAAAAAACATAAATCTTAATTATATTTAATCATTCCCAGTTATATTAATGATACTGGTCGCAGGACGCAGAAAAACGGCCATAATAGCAGCACACTCTACCTCCTCGGGACTACACGAGTGGGTTGTAATTGAATAGAATGTGGTCAGGGGACAAACCTGGTTAGATCGTAGATTTCACTGCTTCGTTCTAAACGTGTAGCCGCGCTTAAGACTACTGTTCGAGTAGTTTTCATCGGGGCTTAACGAGTGTTTTGAGTGTCCACACCATGCCAGGCGAAATTTGGAGCAGTTTTTTTATTTTTTTTGCGTCCTCTGGCCGAGCATTACCAAACAGAGCCTTAAATGGCAAAAAAAAGATACCACTTAGGTGTAAAGTTGTGAGAGGTATCAACGACGACGACGAATCCATATTCACTAACATGGAATCGGCGTAAATGGTGCAACGCACACTAACTGTAGAATGTGCTTTTCTAATGCAAATTCCGCGTGTTAATAATGCAATTTCTCATCTTTGCAAATAAAACACGACCACGCCACTTCCCTCGTCTTTTAATGGCCTGTAATAAGCGTTTTGCCGAAGTTGAGCTCTAACGACAAACTAACACGACAACACCTACTAGTCATGATACCGAGTTCACGTTCGTCTAATTCCTTTACGATCAATCATGCAGCAACTTTAATTACTCTATTAAAGGCCGATTATGACCTTCACACGTTAAAGCCTCCTCATTACAGCAGTGCTAAGTTAGAATAAGGAAAAAAGTGTATTTCGAATCGTGAGTTAAGTCTGAGGAACTCTACCCAAACGACTCTGAGCCCAGTAGTTCGCGAATAAGTCCCACCTCAAAAGCTTGTGACAGGCGATAGCACTGAGTTCGTTGTCAGTCAACGTGTTGGCTTGGGTAGGACGTTCAGCAGCTTAGGAGTACATTTAGAAGTTACGCAATTTTCAGTAGTTCAGTGGGTTAACGAGGCCAGTACAAGCACAGCCTATCTGCTTGCAACAAATGAAACACTGCACAGTCGCCGACGAAACTCAGTAGGGACGGTTTGGAGATGACATCTCGATTAATTCCTGCAGAAAGCCTTCTGTCACGGTTAGCGACGGTACGACCACAAATCGAATCTCCCTAGAACAACCAAAACAAGGGACCCCGTGCTACGAAATCGCCGGTGGCCGTGGCAAGAACAAAGGAGCGTCAATAAATGATAAATAGGTCCGGCGTGGTTTGGTTGATGGCGGACAGCCGTGCTTTAAATGCTGTTTCATTTGCTTAAATCATAATACAGCTTCATCAGGAGCTACAGCTTGGTATGCAAAATCATTAGCGACAGGCCAGAGGGCCGGGCATTCTTTACCTCGCAGTAGAATTAAAGAGGCAGTATATTGGGGCATATTAGGGCCAATACTCAATTTTAAGGTCCGGAAAAACAATGAACCAAAGCATCATGGTGAATCAGAGATTAAAACGCGTGGGCTTGTGTTCGCCTTCATGTCAATGCAGTACAGATAGTCCTGCAACAATCGGTCGGGATGAGGGCCACACGAAACAAGATCTTCCGGAATGCAGATCGCGTCGAAAAGACTTCGAGGAACCGCAATTTATTGGAGCAAGCTACTTTCTGACAGGGACGCATTAGTGAATTTTTAAAAAATGAGGCCTTTACTTGAATTAAAGAGCCCATCATTTTTTGTCGAATTGGGGTGAAAGTAATGCTTGATACAGTTATTTGGATTTTTAACTCTGATTACAGCTTCGAGAGGCACATTAAGTTACGCCAATTTCAACGCAGGTTGCGTCCACGAACTATTGAGAATCGTGTTTATTCACACCCATATTTATCTTGGAATATCCTCACACCTAGGTCTAGATGTTAGTGCACGTATGACTCACGCACCCGAGGTATAAATACACACGCGCAAACCCCACACACGACACAACGACACCAACGTGGTTGAGCTCTGAAGTAAACAGTTGTGCCCGCGTCCTCCCTGATCTTTTTTTTATCGTGGGTATCCGGGAAGCGTACTCGGGCCAGGGTTAATTTCGTGGCCCCGGCGTGGTTCAAGACCACATGCTAGGGCCCACAACATGGCTTCTGCTTAGATGAAAATCTTGTAACCAGACGACATGAAATCTTGAATAATCCGATGTGGTTGGGTAGCCAGCAAAATGACTCAACAGCGTGTGGTAAGGACGACACAAAGAATTCAGAATGTGAATACAAAAGAATTTCAAACAAAAATTGCATATACGGGTTCCGCGTAAGCAACTGGTTGCTAGTTTGAAAGCACCTCCAGACGACGACAACTTCCCGTAGATCAATTGATCGTGAATGGAGACAGTCGCAGTACAACCACAGTGCACTTTTAGCCTTAATTCTTCGCGGAGAACCGAAGACGCATTTTCGATCAGAGAGCAATATTGCCAGCGGTTGGATTACGAAAAGCAGCAATTAACTTTAACGTGATGCGAGATGATACGGTGAGTAGCCGTTCGCAAACTTAGAGAAACGCGCAGTTTATCAAACCAATTAATCACTTGATGATCCACCTCCGCGAAAACACAAACTACCCAAACGATGCGTAAATGTGCTCATCAGCCACGAGGTGGACCACTCTATGCTTGTATTTGAGCATAAAGCGGCTTAAGTCTACTGTGAGCGAGCAGTGTGTCATTTGGGGGGTTAAGTAAATGACCCGAGTAATGTCAGAGGGGTAAAAACGCACGTGGTTTAGCGAGATCTAAGAGGAGTGATGCTGAGGCACAGGATTTCGTGCAGAACACCGCAAAATAGTAACGGGGAGGAGCAAGACAGGAAGGACGTGCCTAAAAGAAACCGCTGGCGATGAAGACGAGGATTGTGTTTGACGACCTGTGAATTGACAGCTGCGGCGTGAACTCAAAAGAGGGGGGATGATCGACAAGAATTTTAAAAAAAAAACACAGCTTAAACAAGCATGAAACGCAAAATTGGGAATTTGAGGATGATCGGTTAGCAAAATGCCGTATGCCTCATGCACTCAAGTGTACCCCTACGAACACCCCACACCAGATTAATCACATCGGGTAAATTGAACTGGAACCATAAGGCTTCACAGCTTTAAATTCTACAAAATACAGGAGTACTGAAGGGAAGAAAAGTGTTTAGGAACATTCAATCGCTCTTAATCTCGTCAAATTTGATGAAGCAGAACCAGGAAATTCGTTGAAAGGATGACAAGTTTGTGGAAAGGAGTCATTTTGTAGAGGCCAGACCATATGCATAAAGTACTTATTCTTACCTAAACACAGATGCTTCAAAATAAAAAAATGACACAGCATCTGCCTCTTTACGACACCTGAAGGTTTCTTTTTTTAAAAAAAAAACTTAGGTTTTGATTTGATGTTACAGCCAAAGGAAGACCCAGCAGCGAAATTGTTATTTCAAAGTTGTTATTGCGAAACCACGCAAGGACATAACAACTTCGACCACTCGAAGATCGCCAAGGTGGACTTAAATCAAATCAACACACATCGCTGGAAATCGCTGGAGTTGTGCAAGAGTAAAACACGCTACCCTCGAGTTTGCTGAAGTCTGAGATCAGTGCTAAGCCCTAGTCACGCACGCGCACACCGACAAAAGAGGGAATGCGTCGGCGCTGGAGGCTGTTTCACCCGAACGATCCTCGATTAGATCGGGGTGTTTCAGGGAAACCTCAATGCACGTCTACACGCAGCGGAATTAGGTCGCGTTGGCGGACTCCACAACGAAGGGTGCAAACGGTAAGGGAATACTGTAGCTGACTGTGGTTTAGTCGTTGTTTTAACTTGATTCCCGCTGAGTGCCACGTAATGCCGACGTGGTGAGCAATTACTGTCAGCATATTTGTTGCATGCGTTAACTGAGCAATTTTTGCTGTTATAATATGTGTGCGTAGGTATGTATCCTTTTTTATTCTTTGGAGATTCGGCACGTGTGTTCAGTCGTGGGCACCACAGTCTCGTAGACAGTTATTGTTTACACAAACAATTCAAAAACCGACTCCAAAACAAGCCACGAACATGTAACCAGGAAAAAAAAGACCCACCTACTCGAACATAATTTAAGCGACAGTTGAAGCAGCACATAGCGGCGATCAGTGCAAGCAGTAAATGCGGGTGTTTAAGTCAAGAGGAAAGTTCGAAGCCTCAACACACGCATTGCCTGTCACTAAGACGTTAAAACTGCGTAAACAAGTGAGACAGCAAAATGTGAAGCATGATTTCACGATACATGCGCACTGAAGAAAGACCGTCGTAGTGATTGAAATAAAATCGAGTGGTGAGTTGATTGGTCAGACGCGAGAACCCCGATTAGTGGGGCTTGAACTTGCCCCAACAAAATGCGACATACTTCAATGAATTCAAGAGTCAGTAAGTTGATTTGCCTGAGGAAATCTAGGAGCTATTCTTGGTTGCACTCTGTCTAACATGACACTCAAAAGAGCGTTAAGTCTTTCACAGTCCAATTGCTTTAAAGCATCCGGGGACTGTGAATGCTTCCTTCTGTTAGTTAAAAGGCACTTTATCATAAGATCACGAGCACAATGGGCTAAAGAGGCTTTGGTGAAGGAAGTCAAACAATTAGGACCTCCGAAAAGGCACCGCAAGTTCACATTTACAAGTTTACCTTCTTCGTCTTCATTGGTTGATTGAAGGCTCTGTCAAGGCAGTGCTGACAAAGACACTACCTCCTCCAGACGAGCTGGCATTTCGCAATTTAAAGACAGGTTAACTGCTGGACCCATCAACTGTCACAAGAAAACAAACTTGATTGATTAAATGGAAGTATTTGGACCCGTTACCTCGTTTATCTGATTATGCTGCAGACCTTTAGTCGATGCCAGGCCTTATTTGTATCCAATTCTCTACTGAAATATGGACAAGGTATCCACGTGGAGTTTGGTCGTTTGTGGTGCAGCACAATCGAATGTTGTGGCTAATGATGTGAGGTCTTCACAGGAAAACCTCGGACCTCTTCACCGGACTGCCAATTACTACAGACACCAAACGAATCAAGCTTCCTAAAATTGACCTTAGAATTCTTTCGCCTTTTGCAAAAAGGCATTTTGCACCTTTTTAGCACGGAATACCACTTCCGAAAAATAATAAAGATTTCGGCGTTTAACCACAATCCCTCTCTACCAAGACCCATTAGACCGTAACCCACTGACATCTGATTGGGTGAAAATTGAGCAGCTCGTGTGTTGTGACAAAAAATGTACTTTTAACCAGCAGCAATTAGTACAAAGTACAAATTTATGCTACCCCGAGTCTAAAAGGACACACTACTTCCAATACTAAAAAATACAGTTGACACACTGCAAATGAAACCCGTGTTGTAGGGCTACGGGTGTGTGCTCATGCTTCAGCTAACAAGTGCCAATTCCACTACACTTTGCTTCTAGATAAAAGCGATTCCAGATTAGATTAATTTAACCAGACTACATAAAGGGTAAATATTTGATACAAATACTAGCGCCTGTTGTGTGCACGAACAACTGCGGCTGGGAGCTAGTTAACAATAAACTTGCGGCGCCTGGGGACAAATTCAGCGCACAAGATACTCAGTTTGGCGACTCGGATGAAATATGCAGCGACGCTGGGACGGCAGACACGTTGACAGTTAGAGTGAGTCGGCGGCTCGTGACAGCTAAGGCGCTGCTGCATGATCGATGGAGGCAGCGGGCGGAGTAACGGGGAATCCGAGGACGCTCACTTCTCCCGAGGCAAAATCCAAATTACAAGTGTCTTCAATCTACTCGACTACCACGTCCAAGCGTCCCTCTCTTTCGGCCTTAGTAGGCAGCAACTCAAGCCAAAAATCGTCACAATTAATCGAGGGAAGTTGACGTGGTTGTGGTTCGTAGTAACCATGGGGAAATAGAGGTGCCACGGGAGATCCCAGCGGACTTGGACTTCCTCAAGTGCTTATTACGAAGGTAAGCAGACTAACCAGTGAGAATTGGTGCAGGGAGAACGGTTGAAGCCGCATTAAGCCGCACGAAAAAGACAACCAGTTCAGTGTTTGGCCTCGAGAAGGAACCGATTAGGAGCTAGCAGAACACATGCAGACAGACCAAACTAGACATTGACTAAATAAATTTTAGTAAATCTAAACGGAACCAGCTGACTTCCGCTCGTAATTTCCCAAAACAACCCCTGAGCTAATCGTCTACAACTACCGTTAAGAGCGTCGCCGCGTTGTAAAATGAGGAATGTTGTCGTGTTCAGAAAGAGCGATAATTATGCAAACGAGGCTAAAAGCAAAAGGCTGCTTTGTCGTGAGCAGAAACTGAAAGATAGTCCCGGAGGGAATCGCAAACATTTACACGCGTCGGTTGGAAAGGAAAGGCCCAATGAAAACGGAACAAACGGCTTTTTTTAACTTGTCAGAGCACAGTATGGAATCGTGACATCCAGCAGAAGCTTAGCTTTGGCGTGCAACAGAGGCGGAAACCAGAGGACTAAGCAAAGAAGTCAGATCTTCCTCGAGCGACGTATTCTCATGCCAATAACAGTTTGAAAGACCCTAGCTGATTGCAGACTAGTCCATTAATGGCTCACGCTTCCTTGAAATGTGGCGCTAACAGTAGCCAATCACACATTCCTGCAAATTGGATCGAACTATCAGACAGGGGTTCTACTAGATGAGTTTATACACTCAAATAGTAAATGCTGCCATGCCTCTGTAGTTAAAATGGATCGGGCATGCATAAGGAACAGTCGAACGTACATCGCAGCGGCCAGGATAGAGAGTAACCGAGGAGCAGAGCAGGGTGAACTCGTCGGATTCGCCTACCACCATCGCCTGTTGTTGTTGTGGCAAGCGCGATGCGGCAGCCTCGAGCGGCTGGGAGACATGCTCTTCCTTCACGGCACAATGATACGCCGGTGAGGTGAGGTTCGCCAAAGCCTGCTTCACGTAGCTCACGACTCCATTGGCTGGCGGCGAAACGCTGACACGGATGTAGTCCTACGGTGGAACAAGTGTACACGCATGACTGTGGTGTCGAGGCTAACGTGGGAATAGCCACCACAACCCTATGCAATCAACTATGCTTGCGAATTCAACTGAGAGGGTGCCGCTAGTGAACCAAACGATAACTTTTTTTCATAAACCGATTAAACAAAGCGGGGAATTAGCTTTGAAGATTATCACTCGCCTGTAGTTAAGGCTATTTAGTCCACACGACAGAGTGAAGTCGGCATAAGCTGCTGCCAAAAAGGGAGCAGCACAATTACCAAGACAAAAAAGGAACCACCGCATCATCCGGAAGTCGACGCACACACCGATTTGACAGCAGCGCTCTACTTTGATGTGATAGAAAAAAATCATCCAAGCGCAAGCAGGCTGTGCAATTGTAAGGGCAAATAGCTGCCCCGTGGAATTCCAAATGCTGAAAGTTATTAAAGAGAGTCCCACATCGTGATCACGACTGGCTGATCGTCAAGCTGGCGATGTCAAACGGTGTCGACGCTCCAACAAGTAACTACACAAAAGGCAAGTCGTTTGATACGTTTAACTCGCCCCAAGATGCGCGTTAATCATAGTTTGCGGGGAAAGAGCCAAAGCCAGACGACATGGAACCCAAGGCGACACATGTGCAGTGTAAATTCCGCTTTTTTTCAGAAAATATGGCAATAATTAGGGATGCAGGGCGCTGAACACGAAATGGTGGATTTGGGAATGCAGACGGATAACTAATGTGCGGTGAAGTAGGAATTTCAAGTTGGAGAGAACATGGACAACACATTTAAGCCCACAAAAAAGTAGAGGAGGCCACCAGATTCGGTTGTTTCGTAAATCTGCGCATTTTCCGCAGAGTCGCAGTTTTGATTTGCCGATTTCTCATGATGCATAGCCTCACGCGCATCATTGGAGTAACTAGATTGGATTAATTTACCCAATCGATAAGCTTACAGACCGGTTTTTGGTGAAACCGTTTGTCCCAAGTTTCCTAGGCATTCGAGAAATTGTGTGGAAGCATCTTTTTTGATGGTTTAGAGAACCAGATCCACCATAGCACGTCAAGCTCGATCGTGGATCCTTAAGCTCTCGCACATACACCTGCAAATCAGCGCTACTGAGAGTACTTACATCGAAAAAGTTACCACGTGTGAATAAGGGTGTACCACGTAGTAATATCAATGAGTTTGCGAGAATCCAAAACAACGATACTTCACTTTAAGATGCAAACTTTCCGACCCCAGACCTCAAGCAGTGTCTGCAGAGATGACTGGAAGAGTGTGGTGATCTTAAATTAGCACGCATCAATTACTTTCGAACACCACGAGAGGTACCTTGTAAATGAAGGGGCAACGTCGGCAGCGCCAGCAAAAAAAACAGTTTGGGGAGTGCGGAGAGTGCAGCAGTTGTCAACTGAAATTGAAATGAATGGAGCCTCTCTGCATCCCTCCCTCCAACCCCGCGCATTCGTCCCACAAAATCGCGATGAGGATAATTAATTACCCCCAGGGCCACATAGGGTGGCAAAGCCCTCGAAGCCAGCCACACAAATAGGTTTGAATTTCGGCAGGCTTGCGGTGGGCCAAAACAACTCACCGCCTATAATAATAATAATTAACGTCTTCTGCCAATTAGGCGAGATACCATAACGTGAGGACGGCACGTTTACGCCTTAGCCGGTCTGGAAAACACTAATTCCTCGAGTCTAAGGAAGGCTTTTGTAGCGGCAAAAACATGGCTTACCATGATGCAGGGGCAGCAGCAACCACAAAATTGAATCGACGTCCTTCTCAAGGGATTTTTTTCTACAATTTTGGGGCCCGTAGCATGGTCGAATGGTAGGTGCTCCACGAAAACGCGTGTGCGTCCAAAGTTGACAATGGGAACTAGGACGAGTGCACCACACGTGACAAGCATAAACTGCCCCCAGAGCATGCCATAAAAAAACGCTGGATTTTGATATCTTGGCGAAGGAGGGGATAAAAAGAGCATTTAAGGACATGCGGTTTACGGCGAGAATAAACCACCGCGGACCGCTGGAATGAAATGGCAGATGCTGTGAGACGCAAGTCACTCGCGTTGACAGACTCCCCCCGGCACTGCTGCAGTCACTTCGGCAAACTCACTTCAAGGAATGGCTCCAGCAAGACTGGCTAGCTTGTCTTTGTTGGAAAAGAGGCAAAAAAGGGAACACAATAAAAAGGAGGGGATGGTTTACATGTGTGCGTGCGTGAAGAAGCGCTAACCCAGTGTCCACGCTGTTTGCTCGGCCGACTTTTTCACCCAGCATAGGGGAAGCAAATACGCAACAAAAGCCGAGAAAGTTTGCTTCCTCAGCATGTTCACTACAGACGACAATAGCGAATGGTTATAACGGTAACCGGAACACGAAAATGCAAAATTCATGGCAACACCAACAAACCCACAGAAATAGAGTTGGAAATGGATTACCATTTTGACGCAAAACCATATTCTTTAGTGCAGCTTATTGGGGGCTTTTTAGTGAGTTAACCAAATACTTGAAAATTTGTAGTAAGGCAACTTGGGGTACTTTACATCAACACATTACGCATCGTTTTCGAAAAAAAAACAGGATTTTTTAAATTGCCACACAATATTGTAAGGTACGACTGATCAAAAACATTATCTACGGGATAAAAATGAAAGTGATTATCTGTTTTACACATAAAAAGGGTTTGAACGACTCACTCCGTCAAGAGAAATGACGATACGCGACGCCCGTGGCACATCCAGACGTGTCTCCAGGCCACATTCGGGATTTTCCTTGTCCACAATTTGCTCATGACCACTTCGAGCGTTTCCATTGGGTCTCTTGGAGCCTGAATACGAAGGCGAACCGAGAAGCCGGCCGAACCACAACGACTGAGAAGGCCGGGGAGGGATTTTCGACACAGCCAACTAAAAGGATGTATGGGACAACTCACCACTTTGCTGGCCAAAATATACTAACCACTGAATATTTGTAAGTAGATCGTTTATTATAATTAATTAACAAGCAAATCTTTTTTTCCCTATATCATCCGGATTAATACAGATTTCGACAGACTAATTTGGCGTCATCAATCTCGACATTTGAAGTTGGAATCAGCATTACCTACTACCATTAGACATAGCTTAATGTGACCAATTTTTGTAGTAAAACAACCGAGCCGCGAGTAAAAAATACTTAACATTCCTGAACCGTTTTTGCGTGGTGCCCCTCAGTTAACAAAAGATGCGATACACTTACGCTATATTTCTCAGACCAACACTTTTTGCACCCTGGGCATGCAGGCTTGACCACGAGTGTAGCCTGCTTGGCACAGCCTCGTCTCAGGGGCTTGTGCTTCTTGTTGGAGCGTTCTAACTGTTCCACTGTGGGAGGCGAGGGATCGAAGACGGGAGATCGAATGTAACACCAAGCGTGCCGGAAGACGGCTCCTACACGCTTGGCCCATTGGCGTGGCGAGTAATAATACGAGGCGTCGTCTGCATCAGCGAGACGCGCTTTGTGACTAGCAGGTCGAGCAGCCGTTAGGGAGAGCCCGCCGCCACCGTATTCGACGTCCCGCCAACAGCCCCACTCGATGCCAGTCATGGCAAAAACCTCTCTAGTCGGGAAGTCTTTCTGCTGAGGAGGAGGATGAGAAATAAGTCGAGGTAAGACAAGTTAATAAATAATGCGCAGCTACAACACACACCAACACTAACGTGGCTCATTCAAACCTTCAGTAGACTGACTTTCATTCAACACTAACGACAAATAAACTAACGTTTTTACAAAGGATGAAATTTTGTAAAAGCGATAAATATTTCGACGAGCAAAAGTACCTTAGGGCAGAACAACTGGTAACTACGGCATTTTGTCCATGTAGCCGCATGTTAAGCAGCGAAAAACATGGATAGTGTACACATTCAGGCCTTCGGAAATGAGTGCCAGAACCAGACAAACAACGTAAATAAACGTCCAAAAATACCTGATTTGTGGAAGTGTGTTCCGCTTGGATGGGAGTTTCTGATACCAGTTTAACTTTCAGAACATTTCGTCGTTTAGAGGACCTCTGAAGGACCGGTTCGATCATATGATAACACCAACTGAAATATTAAAATCAGACAACTAAATTAACCTACTTAACGAGGACACTGTCCTTACCAAAAATCCTACAAAAGTTGTTAAACACTCCCAAAGGAAGAGCGTAAACAGGAATATTCCACAGATTTGTAGTCTAAATCATGAAGTGAATTGTACGGACATACCACGTAATCACTCCTTCGAAGAAGACCCGTCACAGTCTAATAAAAAAGTAGGAAATTTGGAGAATGCGGTACCTTAGCAAGAAGATTATCATCACCAGCTACAATAATGGCATCAGTGCTCGTAGGATCCAAAACATTTGAGTAAGTCTTCGCCTCGTCATCGTCATCCAAGTACACCATTTGAACATCGAGACCACTTATTTGTAAAAGTGGCATCGCATTTTCGTCAAATTTCTCCAAAATTCTTCTCTGGTGAGCGAAAGGGTTTAGGAACACCGTCACGCGTAGCAGTTTTTCTTCAGATGGCAGTCTTTCCATGCCCAGTACCTTTCGACACTAGTAACTATTAAAAACGCGTACCTTCAGTTGCGTACATATACGACGGCGCAAGAGGTTGGTCCTCGTAAACCCACTTAGCAGAAATAAACTCATTTACCTGTATTTTGTTGTAACATGATTCCCTATAAGAATTGAAGCCGCGGTGAGAAAAACTGTAGTTTTCGGGTACTTCCTAATATTTTGAACGAGGTTTCGCAGCATGATCGGCACAAGTGGATTTATCGCGTGGGCGAACCTGAAGTCAGAATTGTTACGGTCAGATCGTCCGCAAGGGACAGACACACCATCAGGGTAGACTGGTATTCACAGAACATAAAAGCGGGTGTGTCAGATACCTTGTTATTCTCAAATATCGAATACAATGTGAGCATGTATGAGAAGGCGGAGGCATAAATTAGTAGACCGTTGATGCAGATAAGCAGGATTGGCCGAGAAGGGAGTTTGTTTATTAACTGCAGGGATTGCACCAGACCTAGAACTGATTCTCAAGGCTATCAACGTAACAGAATGTAGGGGAATGTAAAGGACGAACGGATATATCATAGTTACATGTGAGAAAAAAGAGGGCAGACCGGGACAACGTGCATCTTACAGATGGCGCGCATTACGCTGACGATATTTTGATTGGTCTGTGTCAAAGTGTTCTTGATATTTGACCTTCAAAGAGAACCAGAATGTCTACTGAACAGATTTAATATCACGCCTTTTGAAGACTCACTACACTAATTATGATGCCTTAAAAAGCATAAACAGTGCATTTTCCTACTTTTAGGTCGCTTTTATGCATTGAATAATATCAATGACTAAAATTTGTGCTGGAGTCTACACTGGAAATTTAACACAACACGAATAAGAAAATATTAAAAAAATAATATAAAGGAGAAACTGATGTTTGAAGTCTTTTTACAAGTTTGTTTGCATGGAAACGATGTTGCTTATGGCTGTCAGTTTGTTATTCACCACTGTGTCTGTTGAAAAGCAATGTGGAATACAAAAATTTGACTATAAAAACAGAAGATAGAAATAAATGAGCATTAGCAATATTATTATACCTAGAACCTCCACTAAAACCTGTCCACCTCAGATCAAATCGACTGCCTTCGACGTTTTGTCTCAGGTTAGAATCTTGATCTCATCATAGGTCACTTATTCACACAATCACAAAGGAGTGGCTAAATTCAAGGCACTGTTTAAAATTTTAACACAAATGTTTGATTCATAGTGTCTTCATATCGAAGCAGAAGCTGCAGTTCACTAGAGCGATACAACTTCCATTTCGACATTTCACCAGATCTTACACAACTTAAACTAGTAACCATAAAGTAGAAATGGCAGTTTAACATGGTTCTAATTTTTAGAGATGAACTACGTCCTACTATAGCAAAATTCTCATGAACGACTACCCGAGTCCCCCATGCTGGCTGCACCGCTCTTTATATACCGCCCACCATTCCTTCTTGTCTCTGGTTGGCTGTAGTTCTTCGTCGCGGACCATTCAAAAGCACCTCTTGTCCGTCAATGGCCAAGTTAACTTTTGTTCTGTTACTGTTACATGTGGCAAATGGATTTTCGTTCATTTCCTTTATTACTTCTGCCGTGGCTGACTCAAACTTTTTATCATCTCCCCTGGAGTTTCTAGAGTGCAGATTCCGTGAATGCTGTAGTGAAGCGCTTCATTTTGATGCAAATAGTAGGAGTCCTTTTCTGGCTTACTTTCCAAAGCTTACTTCCGACATTTAAGTGAAAATCTTCATGGTCAACATATTGCCGTTGAGAGACTTTACTATCATGTCAAGGTAAGTTGCGTTCGCATGTCTTAATGTCGATAGCATTTAACCTATGTCTAAGTCGTTCCAGCTTACTTGCCTTATTATTAAATGCTCATCTTCAGGGATTAGGAAACCTTTTTGCCAGCCTAAAACTGAAGAGTTTTATACTGTTATTTTGATTTTGTATATGGTTAAGTAATTTCTATATAAGCAGCACTAAAATGTTTGTTTCACAATTTATAGTTCGTGTCTTTGACCTTAGGTAAGTGCTTTACGAATTGCTTACATCCTAGTTTCAATGGCCTTCATCCCAGTGACAAAATTTTAAAGCCTCAGTATGCTCGATACTTCACCCTATCGAGGGCGCACCTTTAGTCTTAAAAGCAGAGTAAAGAGTGGCTCAGTATTAATTGAATGATGCCTTTGCTGCAAATAGGTACTTTGTTAATCATTAACCAACAAACTTTGAGGCCTAGTGTATCTAGGCACCGAACAGGTGTTCTCTGCGTGGCATATTTTGGAAATTTTCTTATTGGTATTTTGCGAAATTTCAGGCTCATTTAGAAGATCCAAATCCTCGCAGGAGCCTTGCTTTGTCGCTTCATGGCTTCACTGGTGTAGGCAAAAACTATGCAACTTCTATTCTTGCGTCGAATTTATTTAAAAAGGGTGAAAGAAGTCGATTTTATCACTTTTTTGATGCGACTGTGGATTTTCTCTTTAAGGATTCCGTGGATCTTTACAAAGTACGTCAAAACGTAGTGAATGTTTATTTTGCACCCTCTTCAAACTCCTGTTACTTGTTGTCTGTCGCTCAAAACTTATGATATAAAGCCAGACTTGAGTCTAATAATAGACGAAATCCCGCATTCAAAGCTACTAATATACGTGTATTTACAATAAGATTAGTGTGTTAAAGGTAATTTGTATTGTGCCACTTGTAATTTAGAAGTTATGGGACAATGTAGTGTTATGCTTCGTCATTTGAATATCTCTCGTGTATTCGTAAACCTTTGCAGGGAACCCTTGTAATCTGCTTTCTCCTTACTCGCTCCGTTGTTCTCTATTGTTATGTTTGATTTCGTGAAGTTTATCTTAAACCAAACACACATCTTTGTGGTATTTTGAATGTCCAGGAGAAGGTGCTTGACCTAATTGCGAATGGGGTCCGGAGTTGTGGTAGATCTATGTTTGTCTTCGATGAGGTTCACAAGATGCCAGCTGGTATCCTGGATGCCATCGTTCCTCTGCTGGGCTATGCCGAATCCATCAATGGAGTGGACTACAGAAAGGCTATCTTTGTTTTTATGGGGTGAGAATCGATGTTTTTTTGATAACTCCGAGTCTTGGAAGCCTCTGCCCCATGTTAACTCTTAGTTGATCGATTTTGCTAGATTGAAATTCCTTTAAATTCTTAGGAGCGCCTTGTAATGTCACACGATGGCAACGGATAGGGAAACTGCTGTCCTAGGCCCCTATCGTCCCACGTGACTCGTTCCCGTAACTACCTTGTTCCATTAATAGTTTTGTGTGGTACTATGTGCTGTAGTAGAATAGGTATCTTTTATTGTAAAAATCTAGTTTTTCGAAGCGGGGTAAGCTTGGGCGATTGTGATCTAGTCTTGTTGTTTCAGAAATGGCGGCGCCTCCGTAATCAACGAGTTCGCCTACAAAGTCCTCAACAGTGGTAAGAAACGGACATCAATTCAGTATGGTGATCTTCGGCGTGCACTTGCTGCCTCGGTCTACAATGAAAAAGGTTCGTTGCATCCGTGACTCCTGGGGTTTGGTGTTAGTCTGGCTTATTCCTCCCATTGTACACGTTTTCAAATAACCCTCTCGTCAGTTATAGTATTGCATTTCTCACTGAACTTCCAGCTTTTTGCACTGCTTTCCTCCCTTTCTTCTCGCATCAACTTGTGCATACGATCTTCCAAACGCGCATTTTCCCGAATAAACCTAATACGTAATTAAAATGTAAAACCTTTGCGAGGTGTAACTATTTCTCAAGCGTGTTTTATTTTCTTGACCCACGTTCGGTTTTGTGGTTCTTTTCATTTCCCGTGTTCTCCTTTTGACTATCTTCCTATGTTTGTTGAGAAGTGATTTATGCTAACTGCGGCTATCGACTATGCTACTTTCGCCTTCTTTTGTGTTTCTGTCAATAGGGTTCATCGGGAGGTTGCTATTTTTTTTCTCGGAAATAAAGCAGCGATTTTTTCCCGTTGATACCGAAACCCAGTTTGCTCAATATCAAAACGGTAAATGTTCATCTGTTTGTTACTAGTTGGTACTTATTTAGTTGTCCTGAGTATACCCACCGAAACTGCACCGATCACCTTAAAACTGACCTTTTTAACAACTCCCCGTGATTTCGGACACTTTGCTATAATTCTCATTGTCGTCTGTTAACCAATGTTCCCACCTCTGTCTCTTGCAGGTGCATTTGAGTACTCAGATTTGATAAAGCAGCACGCGATAACTGCGGTGATTCCATTCCTGCCCCTGCAAGAGGTCCACGTGCGACAGTGCATCGGCGATGCGGCCCGTCGAATGGCCGTGGAGGTGAACGAAGAGATGGAAGAATTCGTCTTGAATGAGCTAGACTGGGAGCCCGAGAGAAGTCGCATTTTTTCGACGTCCGGCTGCAAGCTCGTCTATGACAAGGTTGGCTTCTACTTACAACAGTCTCTCTTCGCAAATGAAAAAGGCGTTATCGCACAGCCCTCAGAACACGGCGAACTGTAGTCCCCCTAGATCATCGTCTTGTACTAATTTTTGTATTATTGAAAATGTTTTTACTTTTTGTTTGCATGGAAGGAGTCGTCTAGGGGGAGGATGGAATTCAAAACGCTGTGGGAGTGGTGCCATGACGTTTATTTCTGGGGTTCGAACCCATCGCCTCAACCCATCCAATGATCTGGGTGCCGTCCACCACGCTTCTGTGTCGTCGTGTGGGCTTGTTCGATTGGTACTGGCTTTGCGCTTAAAGCTAAGCTTGATGGTGAGGGGAATTTGTGATAGTGTCTTGTCGGTTTTACACAAGCCCGGGACTCGAACCGTGTCGTGCAGACGACTATGTGATGTTAGCAATTATTGGCGTCATTGTTCCCGGTTCAATCTTCTAATGCGTCCTAGAAGGGCTGGACGTCCACACCCACTCTCATCGCAAGTTGTATCCGTATGGCCTAAGTCCAACCGACATCCAATTTCGAAAAATGAATGTACGCAATAGTAAAGGACCAGTCAAATGTCCATTGGGCTTAAAAGTAGTTTGAAAGACGTAAAACTAGGTGGCTGTGCGAAGCTGAGACTGCACGCTTCTTGCTGAAAAATGCGCTTGAAATTCACAATTTTCGTGTTTTGGGGCTGCTTACGAAGCGGTCGTCCGTCTACTCCACTCCAAACTCGGAGTATTGTATTCGCACGGCGGACTTGTTGTGTGTGTCCACTCATGCACTGCGGTCAAACCCAACATTTAGGCTCCAAATTACTGAACAAGGGACAAAAATGCTGTGCCTAATATACTCGCTTGAATTCGACCAGTGCCATGTATGCGTGCGTTTATCAAACACTGCCGCCTCGGATCATGATCTCGGCACGATGTTGCAAAATGATAGCAAGACGAGGACTTTGCTTTGAAAAAAAATTAACATATTTTCTGTAAATTCTCTAGCATAAGTAAACAGTTGTTTTTTGCGAAAAAATATTATAAAGCCATCAAGTCAGTTATGTGCAAAACGCCTAAAAATTGTGTGAAAGAGACGGAGATTTCACAAACGGTGTGCTGAGGCTGTCCTGTTCAAAATTCCTGTTTGGAATTACTCCGTTGTCTAAAAGGTGAAAGATTGATTCGACAAGGGAATTTCACATTGACAATTAATTTTTTGGTCTGAAGCCGTGTGTCGACTGTCCACTTTTTCGTTGGTACGATCCGAAGACAGTTTCCCACGGGAAATTTGACTGGTTTTAGCCAAAATTTACAAGAAATTAATGTTTTTACATTTGCTATGGAATGCAACAGGAAATGCAGTTTAAAATTTGCGGTTACACATTGCAGGAAAATGATGCGATCGGAGGACATTACGTCGTTCAGTATTGACTTACCACCAACCACCGCAAGGGTGTTATCGGCGATTTGGGATCGAAGTTTTATAGTCTAAATGCTTTTTGGACCAAAAGTGCAACAGCTCAACAACAATTTAAGATGTCCTCTCTTTTGTTTCTCTAGACACTCAATTAATGCACCCCTACTGCTATGACGTTAAGCTGGCAGCTCTGAAATCGTTGGTACAGAGAACAGAAAATAAAAGTGGCCTCCCGCTAACGCGAAATTAACAAACTGACATAGTTTCCACTTTAAGCGTTTTTTTCTGAATCGTACCCATTGTAGGCTTGCATCTCTTTAGCTGCATTTCGAAATTATAACCTTCAAATGCTGTTTAACGAACGATTCCAATGTAAGGCAGTCGGCAATTTCGACATACCTCGATCATTTGAATGTGTAAAAAAGTGCCCAAAGCACAGGAACTTCTTGCAGCGCAAAAAGTTTTGAATTTAACCAAAAAAGTCCGTTCAACGCTTTCTTACGTAAATTGTGGCCTTGTCTGTAGTGGACTGACAGCCGCCCCGCGCGAGTGTGCGTGCATGAAGGCCCGTGTGTAGCGATGACTCATCCCCTTTTG